CTTAGAGTAGAAATATAGGGGCAAACATAAAAGTTAAAAGATTATTTCTGTTAGTGGGGCGGGAGAATTTTGAAGGTAACGGTATAGTGGGTAGATTTGGTTGAAGATTACCATAGTCTTTACCAATAGTTTGTTGTGTTTCCTGTCACAATTTTGAGTTGTGTGAGTCACCTCTTGCCAATGTCAATGTCACATTGATATTGAAAATAGTATGAACATTTGTGGCAGGTTTCTGTCATTTAGGCAGATTCAATTTATATTCCTTTTCATTGCTGCAGAACATAATAAGTTATATTAAATGTGGCAGAGTTTTTCAGATTTGGGAATATTCGGGAAGTTCTTTATTAACCGACCGCCAAAGTATGCGGGCGACGACGGCCGCCAAGCGCGCAGGTCGCGTCCTGCGCGGTTCTACTAGTAGTCTAGTACCTCGCCGCGGCAACCGCGAGCAATCGTCACCACTACAGGTGTAAAACGCATCGTGAAATGTACTACTAATTTTACATGCTTAACTGTTACATTCTACAGATGCCGCGGTCCCGCGGCAGACGCGGGTGAAAACCGCTCCGTGAGTTCTTAGTGTAACGAAAAATGAGTTTCACCGCCATCTAACGTGTAATAGTTAGTTATCATATACTAGTAGTATTTTTACTAAAACGCCACCTGTTGGAGAATGGCTGAACCAGGATGAAAAAATACTGAAATATTGTCTAAGCTTGGACCAGTGTCAGTTTTATAAGAATAATATAAAAAATATGGCGATCGTCGCCAGTGTCAATTTTCCATTATACGCTTAGAGGATGGAAAAAAGATTATACGTTATACAGGTTGCTGAAGCTGTCACTGTCAACGGTACACTCGAACCATCAACGAATTTAGTAAATTAAATTATGTTGTTTTTTTATGAAGGATTTATGTAATTTTCTGTCGATTTTATTTTATTTATTTTTTAAATGCATTTGCTATGGAAATTGAAACAAAGTCAGAAATAGTAATAAGAAAACCAATCTTTCGATTTTCCTGCAACTTCAATCCAATCTACTTTTATTTTAAAATAATTGGAAAAACTTAAAAATTAAATATATTCTACGTTTTGTACGAGTATAATGGAATTTAAATATCTAAAACACATAAATTTTTCTTCAAGCAACAGCAACATCCAAATTGACATGAAATTGAAACGGTTGTTCGAAATATGGGTTGTGTTAAAGTTACTGGAAATAAAATATTTAGTAATAATAATAATAACAATGGCGTGTCGCTTCCAGCACAAATCCAGAAGGCGGTCCTGCTCGATACGGCACGTATTGTTCGCCGATTCTTGGACCTGAGTCCCTGACCCCGGCCGACTGTACCATTGCCGGGAAATACCGCCTCTCCCATTTAAAAAATCAAAATTAAGGCCGGCGCAGACTGACGTCGCGGCACGGCACGGCATGCCGCGGCATGTCGAAGCGCGTCGCGGCATGCCGAAGCGCGTTGCGGCATGCCGCGGCACATTCGCTGCGCGCCATTCGCCGAAATCGCCGCCGGACTAGTTTCAAACCTTATTTCAATTAGTTTAATTGTCATAATTCTGTGACCGACGTGACTTGCGGGACGTCTGTGGAATGAAACGGCATGCCACGATGTGCCGCGGCATACCGCGGCGTCCTGCGGCATGCCGAGGCATGCCACGACGTGCCGCGGTATAATTGTATCGAAATAAAGTAATATGAATTCTAACCTCGATGAAATAAGGATAAAAATAACTTGATCAAAAATAAAATCCTTTGCCGTGCCGTGCCATGCCGCGACGTCACTCTGCGGCCGGCCTTAAATCTTTTAGGCCTTGGGAGAGGCGAGAGTTTAAAATAAATACAATAATAATAATAAAATAAAAGAAATCAATTTAACGTGAAAGCTTTTGACTTCGATATGTTAGGGACTTTAATTACAAAAGTCATATTAAGAAATTCAAATATTTCAGTAAAGATTTATTGTCGATAAACATCAGTCTTCGTAAATGAACATCTAACTGTATTTGAGTCTAGAAATTTCTATGGAGACAAAAAGAAAACATTGAATAATAACAGAAATAGTAACTAAAAATGCAAATAGCCGGTGGAATGTTATCTCACTGGTTTTAAAATTTTTGTTTTCACTCCAATTTTTACAAGGTGTACTATTGTATATTATTATATGTGTGTATTTTACGAGATATCTTGTATGTACAACGATCGCCATGCCACAGTAGCGATGTTTGTAGGTGTGTCACCTCGGTATGGTAGGCGATGCGAACCACGCCCCCATACCCTATCTCCCTTTTTTATATATCTATGTGTATGACAGGTAGAATATACCTTAATAGTAGATAATACCATGGACCAATAACCCAAGAGGACTGCTAATCTCCATATTAAAAATCGTAGCTCTGAAAAAGGTCAAAATTCCGTCTTATTTCTAGATGGCGCTGATCGATAGCCTGGAATTAGTTTATATTTACGTAAATAGCCATGGATATCGATTAACTCCTCTTTTATAGGAAATATAGTAGATATTCTATTTTTCTTGTAATGTTTTTCAAATATTTAGTAATAAACTAAAATTATTCTCTGAACTTCGATATTTATGCGTATCAATAGATGGCATTGTTCGTTGTTAACTAATTAATAACGTAACGCTTGCGAATATAGTTAGATGGCGCAAATCCTAAACAAAATAAAAGAATACTTGGAAGTATCTATAAAAATCTGAGCAATATAGTATAACCTAAAGGAAGTCTAAATTGTCATACGTTTGCGGTGGCGCACAGTGGGCCCAAATTGATAATTCTTGGACATAGGAATAACTTGTGGAGTATCGAGCTAATTTTTTTATGTGATAGACAATAACACTCCTAACAACTTTTATTCTTGTATGATTTCTTGAAAAGTTGATAGTTTCAGAGAAAAAAAATATAATTTTTTTTTGTGGAGAAATATACATTTTGTTGTTTATCTCAAAATATACGAAAATGTAGTGTGCGTGGGTTACTTACAGTATAGTTCCAATCATTTTCTATGTAGAAAAAAATAATCCGTCTGCATGTACTTGCGGCTTTGTAAGTAGAGGTGCGGCAAAATTGCTAACTCTTTTATGTACTTTTTTAACAAAATACATGAGCTTCGACTAAAGAAAATTTAATTTTAGTGCTAAATTACACAGAGCGTTATAACAATAACACGAAAGTTAAGTAGAAACTAGTATATTGTGTTTTATTTTTTAATAAATAACAAATCTAACATTTTGACATCTTTTTACTCGTAAAGCCGCAAGTACCTGCTGATGGATTGTTTTTTCTTGATAGAGAATGATTGGACTTATACTGTAAATAAAGCACACATTACATTTTTCTACAATTCGAGATAAAAAAATAAAATGTTTATTTCTCCAAACTAAACATTATAATTATAATAAAAACTAATTATTTAGCCTAAAATTTATACTTTTTATTTCCGTTATTTTTAATTACCTTCAGATTAATTTATACTGGGTTGTTGGACTTTATGCACTGTTTGTAATGGATGACATATTACACACAGATTACACGAAGCTCATGTATTTTGTTAAAAAAGTACATAAAAGAGTTAGCAATTTTGCCGCACCTTT